CTTGAACTTGAGGATAAAAGAGAAGTTTTAGGGAACTGGAGTCTATTCAAAATGATCTTTGGTTGGGGCAAAATGGATGAGGTATGTGAAAGTTATGCCTGGTCAAAGTTTTGTTGACTTTTCCTATAAAAACCCTAATTAGCAATTCTTGAATTTTGATGAATTAGGAACATTTCTTGAGGAATCATGATCAACCCTTGATAAAATGATGGATATCACTTAAAAATGTTGAGGTTGACTAAAAACCTTGAAGTTTGATTGTATATAGGACACAATTGACTTTTGACCTAGTATAGTTAATTTTCAAGCATTTGGGCAATTGAATGAGCAAACTCGTAGTGGAAGGCATGAAATTTGTCATGGACAATCTAGAAGACATATTAGGACCATGGAAAAACATTTGAGACCTTTGGAGCTCACACATCTTGATGAAAATTGAAAACCTAATTAGAGGTTCATTGCCTTAGGAGGAGAATTTGCCTGGTCAATTCTTGGTCATCCTTGAGTAATTGGGAACCTAATTGAGCATGTCTTGAGTAAAATGGGAGGGGAAATTTTGGGGTTCAATAGTTGACCCTGTTCAATCTTCTTAAACCTGAGGATTTAGATTGACTTGTCTTTCTTTCGTGATCTGAAGGTGGAAGATGATTGAACACTAGAGTGCCCATAAATTTGCACTCGCATGAAGTAACACCGATGGTTGATGATGACGGGAATGGGCTTAAAGATGCCATCCAAAGAAGATGATAGAGATTTGTCGGAGATCGGCTTAAATATGCCATCTGAATTAGATGCTGACTTGATAAGAGGTCTCTTTATGGGAATTCATGTTCCTGCTGTCTGATGAGGAGTCCCCTGGGGAATGCTGTTTTCTATTATTCTCCCGCCTGGGGAAAACTTTGCGGGGAATACAGTCTAGGAACTTCATTTGTCCAAGGCTCTGCTGAAGAGTTATCTTTGTACTGGAGAGATGAGAGTTTGTTGTTTTCTGGTTAAAGTTCAGGTTTCACAGTAACTTGCTAGGGATAATGGAATTAACTGTTATTTGGAAACATATTAGAAAGAGCATGTGTAAGGCTGCTTCAAGATGAGCCCGTGTTAGTCTGCATCCGGAGATATATGAGAAGGAGCCTGTGTGGGGCTGCTTTAGGATGAGTCCGTGTTAGACTGCATCTGGAAATCATGAGAAGAAACCCGTGTAAGATTGCTTCGGCTTGTCATGTAGATATATTTCTTGTCTGGTTTCAGGTGTTAATCTACAATTAGCTGTTCACAAATAGTTGTCCTTAATCTGGAATTTGAAAATTATTTGTCATTGAGATAGTTGTCCTGGCTGGTTTCAGGTATTAATCTCTGACCCGAGAAGGAAAGATAGTTTTCTCGTCTGGTTTCGGGTATTAATCTTCAATCTCCTTATGTAGATAGTTTTCCCGGCTTGTTACAATTATTAATCTCTGACCCGAGAAAGAAATATATTTTTCTCGTCTGGTTTCGGGTATTAATCTTCAATCTCCTTATGTAGATAGTTTTCCTGGCTTGTTACAGGTATTAATCCACAGTCGGTCGTCCACGGATAGTTGTCCTGGCTTGTTACAAGTGTTAATCCATAGTCGGTCGTCCATAGATAGTTCTCCTGGCTTGTTACAGGTATTAATCCGAAACTTGGAAATTATCGGTCGCTGAGATAGTTGTCTTGACTTGTTACAAGTATTAATCTCTGACCTGAGAAAGAAAGATAGTTTTCTTGGCTTGTTACAGGTAATAATCTTCAATCTCCTCATATAGATAGTTTTCATGGCTTGTTACAGGTACTGATCTATAGTCGGTCGTTCACAGATAGTTTTCCTGGCTTGTTACATGTATTAATATGGAACTTGAAAATTGTCGGTTGCTGAGATAGTTGTCCTGGCTTGTTACAGGTATTAATCTCTGACCCGAGAAAGAAATATAGTTTTCCTGACTTGTTACAAGTATTAATCTTCAATCTCCTCATGTAGATAGTTTTCCTGGCTTGTTACAGGTGTTGATCTACAGTCGGTCATTCATAGATAGTTTTCCTGTCTTGTTACATGTATTAATCTGGAACTTGGTTTTGTTGGTCACATAGATAGTTTCCCCGTCTGGTTTCAGGCATTAATCTGTGGCTTGCTGTATTTGTTGCTAAACCCGTCTTGCTTCGGAAGTTCATACCATTTGGTCGTGTATATAGTTTTCCCGTCTGGTTTCGAGCATTAATCTTTTACTTGTTATATAAGTTGATAGTGTTTGTCTTTCTGATAATTTAACTTGAAAGGTAAAGTCAGTTTCATGCGATGTCATGATGTATGAATTGCATGATGCTCTCAAAATAAATGAGATTGTGATATATGCTTTTGTGCTGCATATGCTATGATGTTTTGTAGAAATGATGTATGAATGAAGTGTATGAACATGTCAGTTGTTCCATTGCTGTATTACTGAACTAAGGAAAATAAATCCCTAATTGTGGCTGGGGGTGAAGAATGTAGGTCTTCAGATTTTGTTTGAAGTTGAAATCCTGGGAGATGAACTTCTGTTGTTAGAGAAATAAACTTTGTTGGGGAAGGTAAACTTCGTGCACTGCTTGGGGGTTTTGTTTGAATCCCGCTGAGGAATCCTGAGAAGCTTGGCGACTTCACTAGGCAATTTTGGAGCAGCAATTAAAGAATATGACAGTGATCTTGTAGTAGAATGTGATAGTGACCTTGTAGTAGATGTCCCTGTCTATGTACCTGTTGGAGAAAGTATCTGTCCGGGAGAACATCTGCGGGGATTTTGTGGATGGCCCTTAGATATTGTCCTGTTTCTTAAAGTCGTTAGCAACTGTCTTTCTGTTTTTAGGTGCATATTTGTAAGGAGTAATCACATTCAAATGCATATGTTCAAAATAATCACTGGACGTTTTTCACACAAAACAGAAAAATAAAAACAGGAGTTTTGCACTTTCAAAGGAATAGTTATGTATTAACTTGAAAAAGTATTTTTTACAAGGAGACAGACATCCTAGTAAGAGAATATCGTCGTCAGAATGGAAATTATACAAAAATAGTATACAAAGAAATAAAACTATGTGAAATAATCCCATTGGGTTCCCATTCTGCTATTGCCTTTATGTCTTTGAGCGTCTCATCTCTTTCGCTGCTTGTCCAAAGATGATTGGATTGATTAGTACTGCTTGAGCTTGATAGTTGATACTGAAGATTGGTTGTAAGGTGATCCACCGGGACATAGTTATATGCTTTAAATCCCTAAATTTTGCCTGGACCTCCCTTTCGAGTTTTCAGTCCACCAGGATACCTTTTTTTGCCCAAGTCGCCTTTTCAGGTTTTCGATGCCGGGTGTACAAATTTTTTCATGTATATCCCTAATTTTTTCCCGAACCCTTTTAGTTCGTCGGGATGCCCTAATTTTTTCCTAGGACATTCGACCTAGAGGTTCTTTGTTCATGCGTAGTATCTTTTAACTATGTCTGCGTTTACATGGTGCGGAAGGTCGTCACCGTCCATAGTGGTTAAAATCATGGCTCCACCAGAAAATATATTCTTGATCACAAATGGCCCTTCGTATGTGGGCATCCATTTGCCCCTGGGATCACCTTGTGGAAGTATGATGCGCTTGATTACCAGGTCACCAGCCTGATATACCTGACGTCTGACCTTTTTGTTAAAAGATTTGATCATACATTTTTGGTACATATGATCGTGACAGATAGCCGCAAGCCTCTTCTCGTAAATCAGGTTTAACTGGTCAAGTCGAGTCTGAACCCATGCGTCTTTACTCAAACCTGCATATTTCATGATCCTCAAGGAAGGGACCCAAACCTTAGTGTAGCGGTGAAAATCGGAGATCAAGCTATTAATTAACTTGACCCACAAAAGCAAGAGTCGCCACCGCGCTTTATTATTTCCAAGGGAAAAGGGAAAAGAGCGAAATAAAACCCTAAAGTATGCAATGTAAATTAATATTTAAAAGTAATGAAAATACAATGCGTTTTTAAAAGAGATCGAGAGTTCGGGGGTTGGTTATACAATGGGAAGGTATTAGCACCCAATGCATCTGCGGTACTCCGCAGGAACCTTTTGAAATATCTGTTTTTGGTTAAAATTGTTTGTTTGATTAAAAATGGTTCGTTTGGCTAAAAGATGGGTATGGACGAGATTTTTGAAGATACGACGACCTAATGTCGAAGTTTTGACTTAAAAGGTGTGAGTTTGAAAATGGAGTCTTTTGGGAAAATTATCTTGAGCTTAGAAAAATAGTAAATAAGCAAAAAATGAATGAAGGGGTTCGCGCAATCGCATTACTTATGAAGTTAACAAAACATTTCCCTTGGATTTTAGACGAACGAAAAAAAGATTAAATGATTGAGAATAAAGTTAATTGGAATGACAATTGAATAATTAAGTAAATAACTAATTTATACTAGCATGTATTTTTTGAACAATTAAATAAATAAAATTAAATAAAAGACTAATTTGTAAAGTACGTATTTTTTTTGTATTTTGTAACATTTAAAAAAAAAACAAATAGCAAAATAAATAATAAAACACATAGAAAAGGAAATGAGTAAATGGGCCAAACAAACCGTAATTGTTGATTTTCTTTATGTCAGCATATCTCATCTCTCTTTTCTTTGCCGCTTCCTGGAAGAGCCTTACATATCCCAACAACAACCACACGATCCCCAGGCTTGCAAGAATCAACAAGGTCGTCCTCTGCTATGACATCCACTGTTCTGTTGTCGAACCCGCCGACCACTACATCTGATACACGACACTTCGCACCACCCCTGTACGTCGAATCAAGCCGCCTCCTCAATCCACGAGCAACCCATTTACGCCTCATATCCACTACTCTCTACCCGATACCGACAAGAACACGATAGCTTTCTATTCTTTCTTTTGTTGTTGTTTTTTTTCAATTCCGATTTGTGTTGAAAGGGTATGAGAATTTGATTGCTTCGGGTTCTGATCTAGTTTTAACTAGTTTGTTTTGGGTTTGGATGGTGACGGATAATAGCGTTGAACGACTGTAATAGAGATGAAGCGGATTTGTGTGTTGTTAACAAAGAGAATAAAGTTTGACGAGGATGAAGGGTGATTTGTTACTGTGTGCAGAAGGAAGAAATTGAGGGAGGTGTAAGGCTGTGAGCGGAGGTCACCGGGGGTGGTGAAGTCGGTGTTGTGACCGGTGGTGGTGAAGGTGGTTCTTTGGGCAAGATGCCACAATTGAGTCTGCTGGAGGTCCTGATCTGATGCACTATGTTTAACTGATGTTTGAATTGCCACAGGTCTTGAAGGGTACAAAAGGCGTCTAACCTCATTCAACCTCAGATCACGACCATAACGCAGCTGTGTGCTAGAGTTAAAAATATGCTCCATACCATCTAACAAAGACCCATCAACTGAATCTGTGTCCTCAAGTTTAGTTCCTTCCAATACAATTGCATCGGAAATAGTAGAAGATATTGTCACTGGGTGCAGATTAAGCATATAAGGTGTAAACATAGAGATTACATTCACATTGGTCGGTGTTTCAACTTCCTTATACTTGCATTTACGTGCCAAAGTTGACATCGCCAAATCTTGCCGAGCAAGAAGGACATAAGCAGCAGCTGGCCGGTCATTGGGAGAAGAATATCTCGACTGAACCAGTAGCCCATCTAAGAACCTGATGTTGCCTATCAGTGAGATTGATGGGAGCAGTTCCACGGAAGGCATCGTGTTTGGTCACACAGTAAACAGATTTCCATTCTCTGTTGTGCATCCTATAACCAGTGACCACATCCTCAGTAACCGACCCGTAGATCCATCCAACACGCTGTCCTCATTCAGTCTTGTCCTCATACCAACATGAGATCACACTTATGGCTTCTGCAACAGTTGATGCATCAAGAAGTTCTCGGGGTATGGTGAGAGAGAGATAGTGGTAATGGGAATTACTGTTGGTGTTGTTTTGTTGATGAGGGCGGAAAATTTATGAGAGGAATTGGTTTGGATATTATCAGTGCCATTGATATATACAGGAGCTGTGTTTTTAAAGACATAGCAAAGAGGTAGCTTTAGATAAAGATGATGAGTGGGTAGGAGAGAAAAAAAAGTGAGTGTGATGGAAGGATTAGGCGTGAGGAGAGAGGAATAGAGGGAAAGAACATATACTGTGAATTGCTTTTTGGTTTTGTTTTTATGTATCAATCCTCAATTCTTGCTTACAACCAATGAGGGCAAAGCAAAGGGTAACAAACATTTTTTTATGACAGAAAAACCCTTTAATGATAAAAATAACTTAAAAACCTAAAAGTATAAAATATAACTCAATTTAAAATGAATTTTTTGAATTTTTTTCTGAATTAAAAATAAAGACACAAAATGACCGAAAACGATAAAAAACGGACGAAAATTTATCCGATAAAATAAAATGAACACATTAAAATAAACTACATGTCACAAAGATTAAAGAAAAAATATTCAAGAAGTCAAAAATCAAAAATAAAATAATAATAGAAATATCAGACTAAACAGACGTTTAAGGTTAAAACGAGACTTCGAACTGTACCGAAAAATAAAGCGAGCATACCGTCATAATCTACGCGAAGCGCAGATTCATAAAATGATCGGTAAAAGGTGAAAACTTGAAATATTTTCTCGCTACTTTCCCGCATAGTGTCGAATCGCTTTTAACAGTTTGTCTATAAAACCAAAATATTTTTATTATCGACATATAAACAACTTGGAGCAATGCAACAAGTGAGTAAATAGATAAAAATGCATGAAGTGAAATGTCAGGTATTTTACAACTGAAAGACGATGCAAACTTTGATTTAAACTGACTTTTCCTGGTCAACTTAAATACGACTAATGATGCAAAATGTGATGAATGAAGATATTTACTAACGATCGTGACCAAATAGCAAAATATGATATGAAAGTGCGACTAAAACATATTAGGGCGAAATTTAGGGTACAACAGTTGTGCCTTGATGAATCAGTCTTCGAGAATCCACGATCAACCGTACTTCTGGCTTGGGAGATTCAAAACCTTAATTGAGGCGCGACACCTGATGCTCTTGATTCAGACCTGTCTCTGCATATGACACAAAAGAAAACATGAACATACACCTTTGTATGCGATTAGAAATTAGTGATACATATGCTAAAAATGTTCAAAACACTTGACAATCTTCGCATAGTCAAAGCTCGAAGGTGAGACGTTAAAACCGACCATATTTCGTGACCTTGACTTATCTTAAAAAATGCAAAAATAAAAATGGGATCTTAGGTCAAAAATTGGGGTACAACAGCTGCCCCTATTTAAGTTTCTTCTATCTGGAGATATGAAGATTGAGATCTTCATTTCGACAAGATTGAAGGGACTTAAATATAGAATACACAATTTTTGGCCTTAAGATACCGCGATTATGTTTACGATATGATATGAATGTGATGTTTTGAATTTTATGGGGAATGACGCCATATGAGACAGACTATGCTGGAGAAACCAAGCACATTATACAGAGGAAGAGGTTGTAACTCCACTGGGGAAACAAAGTCATAGACTTCAAATGAGAGACTCTTGAATGATTTACATCAGTATTGAGACTGGAAAAGAGATGATTTACATCAGTACGAAGACTGGAAAAAGAAATGATGGACATCAGTACTGTGACTGGAAAACAAAATGATTGACACCAGCACTGTGGCTGGAAAACAAAATGATTGACATCAGCACTGTGGCTGGAAAACAAAATGATTGACATCAGCGTTGTGGCTGGAGATAAACATCTCTGATTTCTGAATTTTACCAAGAACGGTAACACATTTATTCTTTAACCAAGATATCGCTTGAAAAGGATAAAATAACAAACTTCCCCACGGGACTTTTCCGAAAGGGATGCCATTTGCTGAGTAGACATTATTGTTGGGGGATACACAAGCTGCTCAAATAAAGAGGCCGCCCCTTGCTATCTTTCAAAGGTGACAATAACATACAAGTTGCTCATGAAGAGGCTGTCGCTTGCTATCTTTCAAAGGTGACAATAACATACAAGTTGCTCATGAAGAGGTTGTCGCTTGCTGTTTTCTCTAAGGTATCAACAACATACAAGTTGCTCGTGAAGAAACCGCCGCTTGATGTTTTTCAAAGGTATCAATGACACACAAGTTGCTCGTGAAGAGACCGCCACCTGCTGTCTTCAAAGAATATTAAAGCACACAAGCTGCTCATGAAGAGTCCGCCACTTGTTGCCAAAAACCCACAAGCTGCTCATAAAGAAGCTACCACTTGCTGTCTTCAAAGAATATCAAAGCACACAAGCTGCTCATGAAGAGTCCGCCACTTGTTGCCGAAACCCACAAGCTTCTCATAAAGAAGCTGCCACTTGCCGTCTTCAAAGAATATTAAAGCACACAAGCTGCTCATGAAGAGTCCGCCACTTGTTGCCAAAAACCCACAAGTTGCTCATAAAGAAGCTGCCACTTGCCGTTTTCCGAGGGAACAATAACACACAAGTTTCTCAAATAGATAAGCTGCCACTTGCTGTCTTCCAAAAATACTAACGTACAAGCTTCTCATGAAGAAGCTGCCACTTGCGGTTTTCAAAAAAGTGTTGATAACATACAAGTTGTCCATGAAGAGACTGCCGCTTGCTGTTTTTAAAAGTGTTGATAACATACAAGTTGTCCATGAAGAGACTGCCGCTTGTTGTTTTCTTTTCAAAATTACCAATAACACACAAGTTGCTCATGAAGAGACCGCCGCTTGCTGTTTTTCAAGAGTATCCATAACATACAAGTTGCTCATGAAGAGACCGCTGCTTGATGTTTTTAAAAGTGTCAATAACATACAAGTTGTCCATGAAGAGACTGCCGTTTGCTGTTTCCCAAAAAGATACCCATAAAATATCGTGAAGATATTGCTGGAGGTGAGAACTAATAATTTCATCGGGGATGGACAAACTGCTCATGAAGATACCGCCATTTGTCGTAGAGAAAACAGAAATAATCAAACTGCTCAAATAAAGAGTCAGTCGCTTGTTGTCATGTTGATATTCCAGAAGAAGGTTGTGATAACACTGCTGGGGAATAAAGCTCATCTTCAATGGGGAACCATGAATAAATCCTTCTTGAGGAGACCAAGTATTTACGTTGCAAAATAAATGCACCCTCCATCTAGGTTTCACAGCCTAGAGAGATCCACAGGGTATCGTTCACAAGAGACAAAGCTCAATCTAGGAATAAACTGGAGAGAAAATAGTCAAACAAGACTCCACCCAATGAGGAAACAACTCAAATGGGATTTATCCTACCCATAGATGAAAAAGGAAAGCTAAAGCAAGGTTCTTCCACGAGAGTTAACTCAGTGGGGAATTAGAAAGAAGACGCACTTTCTGCTTAAGTTGGAACTCTACTTGGAAAGATCAAATACATTATTTGAATAGACATAACCAAGGTGTACGAACTCAATGACACCAACAAATGCAAGTGTGAGTGAATAAATGAATGTCATGTATGTGCTGACAAAACAAATAGACAAGATAAACTGGAGATGATAAGACATCATAGCACAACCCAACACTCGGCTAATCTCAATAGGATGGGAACATTACTGGAGATAAAACACAGGCCATCATTGGAGCAAGGTCCTTTTACAAGGCTTAAATATCTCTGGAGAGGAAGATATCTTCAGGTAGAAAATCCAAAGTCCAGTCTTCTATTGAAAACAATCCATTGAAAGGATAACAACACCAACAAAGTTTCAGCTGGAAAGAAGTCTTGCTTAGCTAGAGATACTGGGAACACCACCCTCTGATAATGTATGAAAAACATATCTTGACAAATCTGGATTGCCCCTGGGATTAATTTTGGATGCCCCAAGTTTACTGCTGATAAGCTGCGTGACGATTCTTGCGAATAACTTCACTTCTAAAATGCCCCAAGCTATATGGTTGATGAGGAGAAATCGTCTCAAGAGGATTTTACAAAAGACCTGGCATTCACTATGCTCTGGTGTCTTCAAACTCTTAGAGAGATTCATCAAATCTCGATGTGATTGCCCCGAATTGACTGTAGTTGGCACAACAAAGTCTTCGAATTTTTGCCCCAAACAAGCAAACAAGTTGGGAAAAGCAATAACTGGGAGAAGCAACATGTTCGTGCTTACGGTCTTCAGGTGACATACCCATGAATATGATTTTGTTCTTGAAATGATTCTCCAATTACTCAACATAGTTTCAGGCCTTAAAAGAATAAACTCATCACTGGTGCTTATGTGAGCTTCCTTGATATCAAACAAATGTTTTGCAGTTAGAAAAAGTTTACAATGAGAATGAAAATTCTAATGCAACAGTTATGTAAGTCTTGAAGATTTTGAAAAGATATCACACAAATTTTGCGAGTTAGAGCACCATTTATTTTTGTGTAGGAAAAACCTATGATACCAACATAGCTATTTAGAACATTCATGGGAGTCAGGAACACTATCTCATTGAAGTATGCTTTCAAAATAACCTTGCTTCAATTAGGACTTTTGAAGGTTGTAACGTGGTCTGGTTCAAGGTTTTAGAAAAAAAAGATTTAAGGCTCAAAATATTTGGTGCCCACCCATTCTTCATGATGTTCTCCAACCCTATGTTCAGTTAATTCAACATGAGTGTTCATCTCTCAAAAGGATTTTGTGACGGTCAAGGAAACGACGAGGCTTTCAGAGTAGAAACCACCCTCAT